ATTGTGTGAGCGATATATACTGAGAAATAGACAGTCACATCCCAAACAACATGCATATACCCCAGGGAGATTACTGAGACTGCCCTCCACCTATGGTAGGCAGGATCAAAAAATCCTTGGATAACAATGAGTCTACCCTGGTTGTATTAATAGACATAGAAGGGACAATGAAAGTGATGCTATATCTGCTAACGTTAGATATTTATCTAAAGAGGTGACGCTGACAACTATGTTTGTATGTATGTAAGAATGTTGATGTTCAATTAAACCAAATGTAGGATGTGGGGAAGCCATGTGTCGCCTATGAAATGAGGCCGTCAGGAAGATGCCTATTCTGCAGCACTGACAGTATTTCTCCTCAGTTTGTGTTTGACGGACCCTACACAGTACTAATCAAAAATGAGGAGGAGACCGCCAGTGAGGGTGTAATTAACATCTTCACTGACGGATCAAAAAGGAGAAAAAGGTACAGGATCCACATCCGTTCCGAAAGCTACAAACTACACATCGGATATCAGTGGCCTATGGATGTGCGTGTCACCGTGATACAAGCGGAACTGGCAAGTACAACCATAGCTGCTAAAGAAATTGCCCGCAGGCAGATAACGGGCAAAAGTATTAGAATCTACACAGATAGTAGACAGTCAGTACTGATTTTGTATAATCGGAAGATAATGTCCAGGTCGGTAAGGGATCAAGCGCTGGTGGTCACCTCAGCTACCAACAGCATATCTGTATGCTGGATTAAGGGGCACGATCGGTGTAATGGCAATAAAGAAGCTGACAAGCTAGTTAGGAGGGCATCTGGTCTTACTATCTTTGTTAGTACCTGGTTATGTCCAAGGTAAGCCTCCGCCTGGTGACGGGTATTTAAACCGGACACTGTTGGAAAGAAACAACTCTAAAATATGAGAAAGTGCGAAACATCTATCTGTAGAGGATGTGACCAGGAAGACGAGACAGTTTTCCATGTACTCTGCGAGTGCACTGGTGTCTCGTCAATGAGAGAATTCGTGCTAGGAAAACGGTGGTCTTCTATGGTCTACATCAGAGAGATTCCCCTGAGCAACGTCATCACCTTTTTCTCCTTGATAGGTTGGTTGACGGCCCAGAAGAGCTGATCTCTCGCTGCGAGCATGCACAAGGAGTCCAATGCATTCAGCCTAAGTGCTGTAACTAAGTACACTAAGTTACCCTCCAAACTAATCCAAAATCGAGATGGTCAACTCACTTCACTGTTACGTGCCTTATGGCATCCTGCTCGAATCACACCCAAATGAGGCCACGAAAAGTTCAATCACTCGATATCGTTCTCCGTTGACAGTCACCGCGTTTCCAGCCTCATTAAAAAAAAAGAATGAACCAATTACCCCACCAGCGTAAAATCCACACCACACTGTCACTCTTTGGATATACATACAGTCGTCGTTCTTGAATGATCCGAGGATTGTCTTTGTCCCAAGTTCGTTAGTTTTGCTTGTTCACATACCCACGAAGATAGAAACGCGCCTCGTCGCTAAAGATGATTTTCTTAGCAAAATCACCGTCCACTTATGATTCTCCAACATCCAATCAACAAATGTCCGGAGCAATAAATGGTCGTCTGATTTCAATTCCTGGGTTAGCTGAGTCTTGAATGGATGCAGATCTTTTGTTAAAATTCGCTGCTTTCTGCTTTTTGAAATGTTTAATTGCAGTAACCGACGGCGCGGCGCACTGAGGTTACGAGCATTTCCGCCACACTATCACCCACAGCAGAAATATTTTTGATAGAACGACTAGTACGAAGCCGGTCTTTTTTGTATTGTCTGCAACCGGATTTGTTTGTTCAAATTTGGCAACTAATCTCTTCATAGTTATGTCATTCGGGGCGTTCCTTCTACCAAAAATTTCACGTAATTTACGCACAATCTCAGCTACACACTCTCCGTAATTGTAATGAATTTTCGCAATCCTGACACGCTTATCCATCGTATAGTACTCCAGTTTGTGTAACCGCAATGTGTTTATAGTGTAACGAACCTTTCTTAATTTTATCCGTTAAATATCCGATGAACTATTAACTTTTCATATGTTAGTAATGTAAGCGTGGAACTCTGTATTTATTGTGGGTCTGCGTACTAGCATCCGACGAACTGTTAATCTACGTCACAAACCGGCTATAAAAGGCCGACCTCCGGCACCTGAGATTCAGTAGTGTTGATCGGCAATATCCTCAACACGAAGTAAGTNGTTCTGTTACAGAGTCTAAAGGTCAATGATCTTTCTGCCTATGACAGAGCTGTGCAGAGCATGAAGAATGAGGAGACCTTGACCCCACGGTCAACGACCTTCGGTCGTCTGGGGTCAAGGTCTCCTCATTCCTCATGCTCTGCATAGCTCTGTCATTTATACACTACTAACGTTGATTTCTTTTTTGTTATAAAGAAGAAAGAGAAAGCTTTCGAACGATGGTATAAAATTTGATTTCGCAACTAGAAGGAATCGGGAGTGGGGGTAGCTCAAAATTTTACATAAGGATGAGAGGTCGCGATCTTACATTTCAAATTCTGGGACATAAGTAATTTCCAAAAATGCAATAAAAAAATAAGTGACTTAAATATATATATATATATATATAAACAAAGGTGTCAAATTACAAATCACGGTGTCAAATTTCAAAACAAAGGTGTCAAATTACAAAACACGGTGTCAAATTACAAAACACGGTGTCAAATTTCAAAACAAAGGTGTCAAATTACACAGCACGGTATCAAATTACAAAACAAGGGTGTCAAATTACATATCGTGGTGTCAAATTACACAGCACGGTGTCAAATTACAAAACAAAGGTGTCAAGCTACAAATCGTGGTGTCAAATTACACAGAACGGTGTCAAATTACAAAACACGGTGTCAAATTACAAAACACGGTGTCAAATTTCAAAACAAAGGTGTCAAATTACAAAAGACGGTGTCAAATTACAAAACACGGTGTCAAATTTCAAAACAAAGGTGTCAAATTAAAAAACACGTCAAATTACAAAACAGAGGTGTCAAATTTCAAATCGTGGTGTCAAATTACACAGCACGGTGTCAAATTATATTTTTTGCTTACTCAGCAGGAAATGGGGTCAATTTACACAGCACGGTGTCAAATTACAAAATAGTGTCAAATTTCAAAATAAAGGTGTCAAATTACAAATCGTGGTGTCAAATTACACAGCACGCTGTCAAATTACAAAAAACTGTGTCAAATTTCAAAACAAAGGTGTTATATTACAAATTGTTGTGTCAAATTACACAGCACGATGTCAAATTACATTTTTTACTTACTCAGCAAGAAATGGGGTCAAATTACAAAGCACTGTGTCAAATTACATTTTTTGCTAACTCAGCAGGAAATGGTGTCAGATTACAATTCTCAAAGAATAACTATGTAACAATATTTTAGCTGACATCAAAGAGTTAAGTTGTAACGGTTCAATTAAATTTATTGAGAATTTTAATTAAAACTTAAGGACAGCTGGTATATATTCTGTTTAATAATGTTTATGGACCTAAATTATAGGCAACATTCATTACCTTTCCTTTCTGGCTACAAATCTAAGCCGTTTAATATTGAGACTCGCAAAAAAAGGGTAACGGCAGTTTTGGAATGGGGAGATAGGTTTTTACGTTTTGGTACGGCTATCGCTAAGGTGCGAGTGTGGAATATTTTCTGCTATATCTTAACGCTTGTGTTACCCAAAAAGGGGATTTTGTGTCAGAAAAATGAGTGAAAATTGTGTTCCTTTGATGCATTTTGGATAGTACGTATCTTGGAACCTTCTGGTGGAATACAATTGCAGCATTGGCTGGATCTTAGTGCACCTTGGCGATTGCAAAATCAGGCCGTAATATTTAATTTGCCTTATATGATTACTGGGATACTAAATAAGCCACTCTCCATCTCTGGCTTTTTACCACGGGCTGACATCCCTTATTATCAGTAGAGAGACAAACTTCCATCCCTTAACATTCAACCTTTGAGGCAGCCTCTCAGCTGGTCTTACATCACTGCTACAAGGATCTATATTGTGTCATCGGGGTAAGAGCTAGATTTTGGCGGAGTCTTCTACTGGGCGTGCTCATTGTGCCGGTGCATCTGCAACTACAGGGTCTCCAGATAAGCAAAACTTATTACTTTATTTTTAAATTTATTCCTTTGGTTTCTTGCACCGAGGCAAGCAAGTAGAGGTAGATTTATATCTGACTCCTATTAATTGCACCAATTAACAGCTGATCTATATATGTATATATTTTTTCCTTTCTTTAATAATTTTGTGTAATAATATAAAATACCTATATAAGGTATGTGCATATTCAGAACCTTCTTTGTGCACTTAGATATAACAATTGTCCACCTATCGTGATCACGAGCGGTCTCCCAATTGAGATTTATTCTCAATTATTTATAATTATTTATTTAATAGATATCGTCGACTTAGATATTTTAATTGTGATTTGAACGTAATAATGTTAATAAATATTAGTAACTGAACTATTTCGTACTATTAATTTAGTGAATTGAGCATATATAAGTGAATTAGGTGTTGCTACTAGTTGCTAAATAAGCTATTTTGGGTCAACATTATCTTTGAACTCAATATTTAGTAACCGAATATTGAGTAGCTTAGAACCCTAGGGTAAATGGTTACTGGCGCCCTTAAACTAAATGGTCCTCTTAAAGAATGACCGCACGACCAGCTCCGGCTGAACGCTAGCTTAGGGTTTTGCACTTCCAACTTGGACCCTTTTTTTCCTTTAAGATCAGGGTAAGTACATCAACCCTCAGCGAAACGAGAAGGTAGCAAAGTGACCTGTACAGTTCAACGGAATTCACCGCATGTTCGTATTACTGTGTAAGTTGCAACAATTTGATATATAAGCTTACTGAATTCGTTAAATATTATTCAGTCTTCTACAAGCTGAGTAAACAACAAGATGGTCTTGTACTAACGTCAGTTTTATATTCTCATTATGTGCTCATCTTTATCTGAAGAGGCACGTCTGGAGCTGCAAGAGATGTGTGATGAAAGTGGTCCTGCAATCGACGCCGCCATAAATGAAGCGTAAGTTTTTTCTAATGTTTTTCAACGTTTTTTTAAAACCGTTTTTTCGTTTTTTTTCTTACAGAATATCCGATGAACAACTCAACTTGGCCATCGATATCATAATAGATATGGACGCTTCGGTGCCAAGCTCATCCAAGGCGGCTAAGAGAAAAATTCTACAGGATGATGATGATGATGATTTCCAAAATCCACCGCCATCTCACGAAGCTCCAGCACTTCCTTCCAGGTAAATATTCAAAAAATAAATTTAAAAAAATCTGAAAACATCCTGGAGAAATGTATAAATTATTATGTGTTAGTTTTTGTTGCAGAAGCAAAAATATGCATCTGGCAAGGAAGAATATAAGGCCTTCTTCATCCGTCCGATCGCTGTCGCCGACGCTCTCCACCTCTTCGTCATCCACCACCTCTGACGATTCCGAGGATTGGTTGGAAATTATAAATGAAGAGTTACAGCTGAGGGCGGAATTCCGTCAGCGAGTGGACGGAAAAATGAACAATGGAAAGAAGATTAAAAGCAGTGAAGACCTCATATTCCGCATCAAGGGGGAAAAGAAGTCACTGAGGGTTCACAGAGAGACCCTCAGGGAACAGATCCGGCTCCTTGATGCGCAGGAAGGAGAGGTCTGCCAATGAGACGAAGAGAAAATATGAGGCCATCGCTGCAAAATTTAATGAAATTTAATTAAATATAAAAATATTTTATTATTATTAATTTTATTAAATTACAGCTGCTTTTTATCTTCTTTTTTATATATTACTTATAAATTTATATATCTTGTAGTGTTCTAGTGTAAAAAATATATCTTATATTTGTAGTGTTGTAGTTTAAAAAATATATCTAAATATAGTATTATCATTTATTCATTTGTTTTCTTTACCAATTGAAACCTAAATATCTATGAAATAATAAAACATTATATTTGTGATTACCTAGTTTTTGACTACAAGTAAAATAAAAAATATTTTTATTGCAAATATATTTTCTTGTGAACATTAAAATAAAAATATATGCTACATAGTAATTAAATAAACCATATTAAAAGAAGTAGTGTTTTTTTGACCATCATAAAATATTAATGCAATTGATTATAGTTTACATTTCAAATATTAAAAATTAAATTAAAAACAAATATTACCTAAATAACGTTGCTAGAATATTCATGGTGTTTTTTGTTGTAGTGTTTTATATTTTTTAAATTCTAAACGCAATACGCTAGTCATGTGCAAGATGGTTGAATTCCTGGCTGAGAAATAAACAAATTTGTGTGTGGAACATAAACACACAAATAAAATCCTTGATGTATATTCATTACTATTTAAATTTTGCTTAAATAAAATAATTATTTACGCGTTTGTAAAACATGCGTTTTCAGCTATCCTAACCCTACATTTTATCAAAATTTTCACATATTTACAAATAAAAATAAACAGTTTTATATGTATAACTCTGAAAGTATATAAGATTACTTACATGTGGATGTGTATTTACAAAAAAGTAGATATTTTCATAGATTTCAGTACCTAAAACCTTGTTGGTTTGATCAACTTTTATATCTGTTGTCATGTTTTATTGCAGACATCTTTGCACATATCATCCATGTTATTAGATAAGCTTTGGATTATTCAGTTATTAAATGTTCAAAATTATTTGTCTTCAGATTCAGTGTATTACAAGGCTCGATAAAAATTGTTTACAAGTTTCAGGAGAAAAACTATGACAAAACATTCACTACATCATTTACTTGGAACAGAAAATATAGTATAAAGGATTTATTTTATAGTATATGTACGGGGTAGAATAAACAATTGTTCATTCAATACAAATATTTTTATTTTGTAACTATTGCAAAACATTCACATGGAATATAAGACATTGTAGACAAAACGATTTTCGGTTTATTTTCTTCGTAAAGAGTTATATTATCATGCTGTTAAAAAATGTTGACGATTTTATTAATTTTAAGGATAAAAAAAGACTGAAAATGTTGCACTTTTTTTGGGTATGTTTTTTTCAAATAACTATTTCAATTTTTATTTTATGAAAATGACTTTTAAAGAAATAAACTGCTATATTTTTTCACGAATTAAAAAAAAAAAATTTTCTACGACCTTCTGGAGCCGATATAATTTTTTTATTTAAACAAAATTATTTTAGAAAAACCGTTTTTTTGCAACTGAGATTTTTTTTACCATGTTCGCCATTTTGGATCGAGTTTAAAGAACAAGAAACTCAATTTAAAATTTAATTTTCTATACGGTCATATTTTTTGTCCAGGTAATAATTTCTGCAAATTTAACATTAATCCGTGACGGAATGCTTGGACTACAAGCAGTGAACTCTGTTAGAGCTCTGACTGGAGCGAAAATCAGAAGCGAATTGACGCTTGGTTACTACTGGCCAGGCCAGAATAACGGTCTGACTACACAGGCCGACAAAAAAAAATCCTGTGTTTTTGAGACCTGAACCTACCCTTCTTTAGTAAAATTTTCCGAAAATTATAAAAAACAATTCTGACGTGCCAACCTCTTTAATAAAATTTTCCGCTGAATACGAAAATGATAAAAAGAAAAATTTATGGACTCTCCCCCACACACCCTCAATTCCCCCCAAAAAATCAAACTAGCCATCCAACTTACTTTTAGCAAAATTCGCTAAATTCGAAAATTGAAACAAAATGTTTGGATAGGGATCCCCCCTACTCATCCGTATCTCACACTGGCTTCTTTAAAAATAAAAATAAATACAAATCAGACGTGGCAACCATTATAACTTTTATAAAATTTTTCAACGTTATCAAATATTTATAATCATTTTAAGAATCCATTTTCATGCATCGTCTTGGATAAACATAATGTTCGTTGTTGTACCAATTTTTCCTTTACTAACCATATATACAGGTCGACTTCTAAAAGCATCGTTAAAGTTTTCAATACCTTCCTTTTCAAAATGTATGTAAAATCTTCTTGGTAAGTAGCAGGTAAAATCTTCAGTTTCGGCCACAACACCGTCACCAAATTTGGTTTTACTAAACCTCAGCTTCACTATTTTATACTTTTGATGTATATGTAAATCTTTAATATTCTTCAGTTCTTTATATGAAGTTGCCTTGTTCAACTTTTGCAGATCCATGTTGAATGTAAATGAATGTTATAACTGAGTTCAAATAAATCTCATATATGTATATATACCTTACCCGACCATATTTCTCCAGTACCTCCTCTATCTTATTTACCCTCCTACTTTTTATAGTGGAAGGGTTAGGCTATCAGGATATATATACCTGCATTAAACAAGTAAATGTATCATTATTTCAACATTTACAATTATTTAACTTGAAAATATATATTTTCTTATTAATATGGTTTACAGGGGTAAGTAATAATTGAAACCTTAATATCTCGGAAATAATAAATTATTTTTTTGTGATTANAGCAGGAATAGTCTTAACTGACTAGTTAAGAAAAAAGCCAGTGATGTATTTGGGATTGCAATCAACAGTGCTAAGGGCTAATATAATAAGAACACTATGTTGTTGTCAAGCTTTCGGAAATGTTTATTTCCTTTCTCAAAACATCTATAAAAATGACAAAAATGCTTAGAATAATAAGTTATAAAAGCTTATTATATACTTACAAACGTGAGATTATAATATAAAAACCATCATAAAACCAAAATCAAAAAAGAGGGATACAAGAACATTGTTGTTAAAATTTTATGAACTTCACTAGATTAAAAACAATTGTAACTATAGTCAACATTTAAAAAAAAACAATTTTTCAGTCAATTTTTAACATGTAACAACTAATACAGTAAAAAGGAGCCATACCTTTGAAATGTGAACTATTTTTTGTATCTTTATCAGAACAAGTTTTTTTGAAAACAATCTACTAATATTATAATAATAATATCTCTACTCCTCATTCTAACTACGAGAATTAGCCCAGAAGTCGGAGAATTGTGCGGGAGAGGAGGCGGCATTTATTATTAAGCAGGTCGCATTTGCGTCTAGGAACGACTTATGTTGGTAGGCCCTAACCACCATTCAGTGCAGGAAAGAGGGAAACCTGTAAAACCTCATTAATTAGGGGGGTGGTCAAATGTTAACCGGTGTCAATCTCTCACATTGACCCAAGCCAACATTCTTCCACCCTACCATGCCTGCGCAGAGGGTGCCAATCCTCCGTACAATCATAGCTAATCTACGGTCTACCGGCCGCGGGATTCGAAACCCGAGCAGATAGCACACATCGATTTAAGTATGACGCCTTAAACCGTGCGGCTATCGACCGATTCAAACTAGTAACAGCCAATGAGGTTAAAGAACAACATACAGAGACAATTAGCATTGCCAACCACAGTACCAACTTAAAACGGAGGCGGCAATTCACTCCAAATTTGAAAACGACATTGGTAAATTTCTATATTTATTAAAATGTAATAAAAAATTATAAATACAATTCAAATTATTAATATCTGACTTTTTATTCAGAGCATTAGAAAATTCATTTCCAGAAAAACACGCTTATTATAATTTATTTCACTGTCCAAAACTGTGACACCGTTAAAATTCATTTTGTGGCCTGTCTGGAGTCTGGAATTGTGGGGAGGGTAGCAAAGCTACAGCACTTAGGCCCCATTGGGCCCCTTGTACATCCTCCCATTAGAGAGATCAATCCACCTGAGCCGCCAACGAGCCTATTACAGTGAAAAGGTGGTGACGTTGCTCAGGGGGGTCTCTCTAATATAGGCCAGCGCTCTCCCAACATGTACTCTCTTGTTGACGAGACGGCAGTGCATTCACATAGTAAGTGCAACACCGTCTCGTCTTCCTGTTCACAGCCCCTACAAAGAGGTGCTTCACACTTCCCCATATTGTAAAGGTGTTTCCTTAGCCAACAGTGTCCAGTTTGAATACCTGTCACCAGGCGAAGATTTGACCTAGACACAGCCAGGTATTTTTTGGCTGTGTCTTTGCTAGGATACACTAAGAACTCCTTAGCAAAGTGACAGCTGATTGTTTCATCCCACCGTTTCATAAATTCTTTGTGGGTGTCTTCCTTGATAATTCCAACAAGTGCCGACAACGGAAGCACACTGGAGGGGCCGGGTCCAAAAATGTTGAGGCCCGATGCGCTCCTGGCTAGCTTGTCAGCTTCTTTATTGCCATAGCACTGCTCGTGTCCCTTTACCCAGCATACAGATATGCTGTTAGCGGCCGAGGCCACAACCAGTGCTTCATGGCATTCCCATACTGTCCTAGTCATTATCTTATGATTAC